ACACACACACACACGACATTTTACATAGTACCATGGTATAGTTTACGCATGGGCTATTTTTGACGATTCGATTCATGGTTACATACTATATGTGCTATGGAACAAATACCATAGGACTATAAAATCGTACCATGACTATACTGTCAAAAAATCACACATGTGGTACCGCACGTGTACCCCGGTGAAGATAACCAATCGGTTACTTATGGTACCGAAACTATAACCCTTTCATATGCATGTTGGAGGCTGAAACCCACTTAACCCTGGCCATAACAATTTACCATGTAATACATAGTTCTTGTATCTCGGTGTCACACCTGTACCAAACTGTAGATACTGTAGAATGTACAATGGTAGGCTATATCAAATAAAAATAATGGACTGAGGCAAATACAAATAATACATGGACTCAACATGTACCGTAATTTTCGGACTATAAGGCGCACCTGAATGTAAGCCGCAGCAGCTAAATTGAATGATGTGTACATATATAAGCCGCACTGGACTATAAGCCGCAGGTGTTTTAATGTTTAATTACCATATGTAAGGGTTTGTGCACAGAGGGGATTGTCGGGAAAGAGATGGCTGTTTAAGGAAGCTCCCATTTATTAACATTTCAACAAACAAGTTGCATATTTGCATAACGTATTCAAGTGTTACCATTTAGTGCAATAGTAGCTACAGAACATGTACTGTGCTGTGTAAACTGTACTGTATCACATAGCGTTTCAGACACACAAACTTTTCAACTTTCAAACTTAAACGGTGCGCTCCCAGCGCACGTACCGGCAGTGATCTACAGCAGTGGTTTTCAACCAGTGGTACGGGGACAAACTGTCTCGCTCTCGTAATGTCTGTCTGTCTTGCTCTCGTTCTGTCTCTCGTACCACTCTCGGTTCCACATTTACTTTTGCGCGCTACCTGTCTCACTCTTTTCCGGCCTCCAGCTTTTCCTGCTGGAGCCCGCCGCTTAAAAGGTGGGGGGCGCGGACCGGCCATAGAGCCCATAGAGTTAAAGGTGGTGGACTGTAACCTGTAAAATCCATAGATTTAGGAGGTGCGCTAGTGGCCTTTAGCTGTAAAAATCCATAGATTAGCCGCACCGTTATATAAGCCGCAGGGTCAAAAAATGGGAAAAAAGGCGCGGCTTATAGTCCGAAAATTACGGTAATAATAATAATAAAAAAATAATCGCTTTATTTCGATTACATTGTTTTCGTAATCTTTGCAAGCCATAATTGTAATCGCGATTAAAATACGATTAATTGAGCAGCTCTAACACACAGTACACGAAAAGTGCACAGGAAAGCTTCACTGTGGTGTTTTATAAAAGAGAGAGAAGTAACAATGCTCCAGAGGCTTTGAACACAAACTTCAGATTGATGACAGGTAAAATAACATTAAAGTGAACTATTAGAGGAAATACTTTATCAAAAACTCACCGACAAGCATTTCGTACAGGAACACCCCCACTGACCACCAGTCACACTCTCTGCCATAGCAGCCATCTCCCCCTTGAGATTTCAGTACCTCCGGCGAAATGTAGTCTGGAGTTCCCACTGCTGTGTCGCATCGTACCATACCATCCTAAAGGGGACAAACATTTGGGAAAATATCACAATTTGATCCTTATAATAATAAACGCCTTGAAGTACTGTCGGAGCCCTGCATTTTTCATACACATAATAATCAGCAAAACAACTTAAAATCTCAACGTTATAGGACTCGTCATGCCTGTGGTGTAAAAACATTTGGTGATGAAAATTAAACGTGATACCTTGTTCATTTTCATGCAGGTCCCGAAGTCGGCCAGTTTTAGGTGGCCTGCTTTGTCTAGCAACATGTTATCAGGCTTTACGTCCCTGAGAAGGCAAGAATACAGCGATATCAAACACATGCAACACACAAACAATGCAGCGACCTCAAGCATGTAACCAGAAAATACATTTAAGAGAAGAGTTAAGGGTTAAAGCTCTCAGAAGTGTCTGAAGGTGCTTCAGAGCTCTGTAGGGATAAATCAGATGTAATGAGGTAGGAAGGACGCTGGGACCCGAGAAAGCAGAAATCATGTTTTTTTACACAACTTTCCTACATTTTAACTTTAAGCTAATTTGAAAATACTAGACAGCTATTGAATAAAAAATTTCATGGTGAGAATTTTCCACCATCGCAGCTGTGCACAGAGCTTAGTGTGTGGAACTATACCAAGTAGCATTCTTATAAATGGAAAAACACATTTCTTTTTGATGGCTGTCACGTATTGAAATTGAATCATAAAAATGTGCTGCTGTCGAGCACACAGATGTATTACCCTACTACTCAGAAATATATCAAAAACCTAGAGCCAGCATCATGGGACTGCGCTGAACAGGCAACTCTAATAGACTATTTGAATCTCATAAAGATCATTGAACACACACTGCATGTGTAGTGAAACAACACAAATATGACTGTTGAATGTTCAGAAACAAGTAGTAAGGCCGACCTAACACTAGCATTTATGTTAAAACCAGTACCTTTGACCCTTGGCTATCTGTTTTTTATAAAAACCTCTTCATTTAATCATTTATTTGGCAGGGACAATGAACAGTAATGAACACTTAAAACATTCAAATGTATCAAGCGTAACAGTGGCAGATTTAGCTTTGAGCTAATTTCCATCCGCAGTCCCTCACATAAAACATTTAAGAAAATTACATTTTACAAAATAGCAAAAACAAAATACATGATATGCAAAAGAGCAGCATACACAAGTATTTCTGACATGGTAGTACACTATAGCAGCAACGACATATAAAGTGCAAGAGGAGATACCCCTGTGTTAAAGTGAATTTAGCGGTGATTGCACTTCTGTTTGTTTCTCAACCATTCTTTGAGTTGACCTTTGAAACTATTGAGAGTGGGACAATCCCGTATCTCAGTTGGGAGGCTATTCCAGAATGAGCTGCCTTTAATGGAGAGGACATTTTGTCCAAAAGTGGTCGGTCTACGGTGGACCTCACAGTCTCCTCTGGTTTCTGACTGTAAGGTCCACCGTTGATTAGATCACAGTTGTTGAGAACCTTAAAAGATAAATAATTTTACACATTTACTTTAGGCGTGGTTTCAGAGAGAATTCCAAACTGACTACGAAACATCTAGGACTGCCTTACAGATATAAAAAAAAACTAAAAAACATTTTCCATCGGAAATGAATCCCAGCAACGTGTTTGACGGCAGCCAATGGAAGCCCAACTCACACACCCAAAGGGAGGGAGAGCTCTGATGTTACCTGTGGATGAAGCCCATGGAGTGGATTCCGTCCAGAGCCTGCACCACTTCAGCGGTGTAGAAGCGGGCCCACTTCTCCGGGACGTCATAGTTGCTCATCAAGTTAACCAAGTCGCCACCCGGCATGTATTCCATCACCATGTAGAGGTAGCGGTCATCTTGGAATGCAAAAAATAGCTGAAGAATAAAAAAAAGAATTGGTTAAAACATGACTTAAGAATTCATTTGAGAATGACACAAAAAGCTGGGTTAATGTCTGTGTGGCCTGCATTCAATAATACTACACTAAGTTAAGTAGGACTGTGACACTTTGTCTCTTTCACATCATACCTGCACCACCCATGAGCTGTTGGCAAAAGCCATGATGTCCCTTTCCTCCCAGAAGAAAGCAGAGTCCGACCTCTTGATCATTTCAAACTTGCTCAACAGCTTCATGGCGTATACTTTGCGCGTGGCTTTGTGTCTCACCTGGAAAAGATGAAGAGGTGAAAACCGTTTTAGTTGGGTTGAATTCTTTCTCATAAACCAGCATGTTTTAGAGCAAACGATGATATATATATATTCTTACCAGTTGCACCTCTCCAAATGCTCCTCTCCCAATAACTTTAACCACCTCATAGTCCACCGCTTTCATGCGTAGATCACGGATTTTACTAATGGTTTCCTTATCTAAAAAGAAACAAGGAAACACAGAAGTTCGTCAGAATCAGAAACAGGTTTATTACCAGGTAGGTTGACACGTACGAGGAATTTGACTAGGTGTCATGGTGCATACATAAAAGTAAAACAAAATTAAAAACACAGATATTATAGAACTACAATAACATTACAATAATAATAATAAATATAGCAGTATTTACATTTCAATAGAAGGGAATATAATATGTGCATTAATCATAAAAAACAGATATTGTGTAGATTGTGTGCATTAATGTAAAGTCTAATAGAAGCTTTATAAGCTAAGACTAAATACACAATGGGTAAAATGTTCATTTTGCGTGTTCAGGATGTTTTCGTGTGTCAACCACAATAAAAAGGAATCAACGGCACACGTCCAAGAGGAAGCTTGGAATTGCAGCACCCAAAAGCGTGAAGGGAACAAGGGAAACACCAAGCATACAAAGTGGATCTGGAGTTGTCGTTCACACTGTGGTGGCGTGGACCGAATCACTTGCTTAGTTCGGGACGAAGGGGGCAACTTTGAATGTTGTCTTTACGACCCGAAAATAACCTGCTCTCAGTGGTTTTAATGTGTCGACCATTTTAAAAGAGTCTTATACTTCAAGTCAGTTTAGTGAAAGTTGCTGGAGATAGCTCTCAGAGCATGGGTTTTCCATGTTGAATTTGTACGGGAGATCAGGGACACTTTTACTTTATGCAACATCACTTAGGCAGGGGTAGTCCAAGAAATCGACTAATAATGAACCCATTTGTTGCAATAGTCATTTATGCAAAAACGACATTACTACTTGTACTACAGCATTTGAATCATCAGTTTTTCCTCATTTGTTCATATTTGGTTTATTAAAATAATTATATTGTGGTCATTGTTAAAAAATGTCTGCTATTATTATTATTATTATTATGAGTATTATTATTAGTATAATGCGCTTTCTGCCTTCCTGTCATTAGGAGTTAGAAATGTAATAGCCTAGATTAGAACCGCCATTATCCTAAACTGCTGGGACATTTCCCTAAAGCCAATACCTTTAGATTTTCTACCCTTCACTTACTTGTCAGCATAGGTCGGCATTGATGTACAGAGCCGACTAAAGACCTTGTTTATATTGGCATCATATTGCAGCTGAAACGTTCTCTCCCTCTTCTTCTTCTCATACTCCCTGTCACTCTCCTTTAACTCCTCCGGTGACATTGTTTTATTTGAAGATTGTTTTTTTGCCCGGCGCTCGGCCGGTTACCGCTGGTATTAAAAACATGTTGGCGAATGGTTAGGTGGCGAGAAAAGTCTGCAGTGAACGAGTCACGGGTCAACTTCTGCTATATGTTGACACAACGTGACACCTACTGTAAGCAGGCTCTCGTAGCAGAAGTTGGCTTTGGTAGAAACATCCAGCCTGACAGCAAGCTGAAAAAGCTGACAGCGCCTCGGCACAGCTGAGATCTGCTGTTCAGGGAAAGTGTTGCTTACTGAGAGTTGGCCTCTCCCCAATGCAACAATTGCAAGCTCCCCTAGGGAAGATAGTATTCCATGTTCAGCCAAATTTGGTCATAGTTAAAACAAGGGGGGATAATTTTCAATTCACATGGGTCAGAACTGGCACTGGAGCTCTGGGGCATTTAAGTTCAATTTAACTAAAAATAAAAAGCAAGGCCTGAGTTATTAACGTAAGAACATTTAAGAGTGACTCATTTCCACTGTGAGCATAAGTTCCCTGGATCATGAAAGTCTGAGTGGACCTTAATGACATATAAAGCATGTTTAGAAATGCTACAAATACAATTTGAAGTTGCTGTTTCTGTGTGTATTTGCATGTGTGCTGGGGTGGAGGTGGATTATTTCCAGGCGGTCCCTTTATACATACAGTCGAGCAACCAGCTGATGTGATCAGGGTGCAAGGCACAGTGCGTGGAGGAAAGAACTCTAGAGTAAAGCGCGCTTTAGGCAAAGCATCCTACTGAGAAACAGTTTCTCATAAGACAGCTAGTCCATTAGTCCACATCCATCTCCAATACTTTGCTGCTATACACAAACTCACTGCACCAAGAGTAACTGAGGAGATGCCTAATGACAGTTTTAGCCCAGGGGTTTCCAGTAGGTTGGGTTTATCATCAAATATTACATTTCCTCAAACTTTTCTTTTGTTCCACTAGGAGTGTAAGAGAAATCCTTACACTGACAAAAATAAACTTTTCATATAGAGGCAGGTTGTCCCCACTTCACTTTTGACTAACTCAAGTCAATACAATTTAAAATGTGTTATACAAAATGATTGTAAAATGCCTGCAATGCATTTCTGTTGCAGACCTATTGAAGGACGGTCACATGCAACAACAACAACAGTAGTGTAAACAGAGCAGCATGCCATCTGATCAATGCTGCACATGAACATGCATTTCAATGGCTGTCACTGCAAAGCGTGTTTGCTAAGATATCAAGACTGAGAATAAAAAAAGGCAAGCTAATAAACACAAAGTATAAACCTAAATGCAAAGAAATTGGGCAGTTATAATAGATGTATTAGGGGAAAATGTAGATTTACCATCCGTATTTGGATTGGTATTTTAGTTATGGGGTTCCCCAGTCTGAGGGCACTGTGAAACAGAGAAGCCATCAGGATAGACACCATGTGGGTCACCAGCCATTTATGAAAGCCCCTTTGTTGGGGACACTAAGCAGCAGACACCTATTGTGTCCAAGCCCACATGGAGGCGGTGACCCAATAACAGCCTTCTTGTCTGAAGCTGCTTATACCCATATGCACCGCAGTCTTCAAACAAAAAATGGCTCAAGTGAAAGACATATAGAGAGGAGGACATAAGGGAAGAGGCATGATGTGAGCTACTTACATCTACTCAAAAAGTTGTCAATGCTCTTGTTTTTCCTCAGGGCAGGAAAGTCAAGGTCATACACCAGTGCGTCCAAGCCATCCTGTGGGAAGAGGAGAAAGGGTTAACAACCAGGCAAACAATGCTGCTGTGTCTACTAGGGGTGCAACAACTAATCGACTTAATCGATTAAAATCGATTACCAAATTAGTTGGCAACTAATTCAGTCGTCGATTCGTTGGTGACGTCATCACATGTGTTCTACACCCCGTTAAGCTCCAACGTTATCGCTCTTTTGTATCGGTACAGGAGACATTTAAAAACATATGTTATGTATTATTGCTACATAAACATTATTAATGTTTATGTAGCAATAATACATAACATATGTTTTTAAATGTCTCCTGTACCGATACAAAAGAGCGATAACGTTGGAGCTTAACGGGGTGTAGAACANAAGTTATCCATTCCATTCATTGTTAGAAGTAGCATTTTTTTTCTATATTCCTGACAAGCACACCATGAATTTTAAACACTCTCTGCCAACATTACAATAATACTTTAGTGAATTTAAATTTTAGTACTGTCCATTGCAGGCGACATTTAATAGACCAATGCCACTTCAATGGATCGGTTTCTAACCACTTAAGAAACTGAAATCCAGCTATTTACAATACATTATTGTAATCCAGGCTGAAAGCCGACTGCTTGCATTATGCAGAAGCCGTTCTTCAGAGGCCTGACAGGACTCAGTGTTTGCTTTTTGCATGTTGTGTGTGTGTGTGTGATTTCGCTGATGTGGTAGACACAGCAGCATTGTTTGCCTGGTTGTTAACCCTTTCTCCTCTTCCCACAGGATGGCTTGGACGCACTGGTGTATGACCTNTTTCGATACTTTTCTTTTATTATTTTCATGATCAATACAATTATAGTTGATCTGTTAAGTGTTTTCTTACAACATGGTCTCTTCTTTATACTTGAGTTTATGTGATTTCTTTGATAGTTCACTTTATATTTTATTGACATGTAATAGTACATTAATATAAATAATTATTGACCAAATGTACATTGCAGATGTTAGCCACATTGGTTAGCTAAAAAGATAGCCATATTAGACAGTTATCATTGCCATTAATTGCCTCGTTTGTCACAAAATAAATGACACTGGTTTGAGTACTTTTCCCCGTCATTCTTAAAGTACCGATACTAATGAAACGGAGGAACCGTAACGTTTTTAACGGCAGGGTATCGCGGTACCTTTCAAGTATCGGTACACCGTGCAACACTAATATGAAGCTGGCATTTTAGTGGAAAACTCTTTTTATCAACAGCTATTCAGATATGTAATGCCTTCACAGGGTATATGCAGGAACCCTGAAGTCAAATGTAAAACCTTTTTTAAGACCCTTTCCATACATTTTAAGACCTCATCGCCACTTCAAGTTGTAACCGGTTACATTGGCGACACATTTACTATATACAGTATTGATTGTCCTTCCTCCTTAAAGGAGGAAGGACAATCAATACTGTATATAGTAAATGTGTCGCCAATGTAACCGGTTACAACTTGAAGTGGCGATGAGGTCTTAAAATGTATGGAAAGGNCAAATGGTTGGAAGATAAGGAAGAAGGACAATCAATACTGTATATAGTAAATGTGTCGCCAATGTAACCGGTTAAAACTGGAAGTGGCGATGAGGTCTTAAAATGTATTGATGGATTGCATGGATGTATGAAGAGATTATACAGTGTGCGCTGTGTAAAAATGGGGGAGNAAATCACACACACACACACAACATGCAAAAAGCAAACACTGAGTCCTGTCAGGCCTCTGAAGAACGGCTTCTGCATAATGCAAGCAGTCGGCTTTCAGCCTGGATTACAATAATGTATTGTAAATAGCTGGATTTCAGTTTCTTAAGTGGTTAGAAACCGATCTATTGGAATGGCATTGGTCTTTTAAATGTCGCCTGCAATGGACAGTACTAAAGTGTATTTAAATTCACTAAAGTATTATTGTAATGCTGGCAGAGACTGTTTAAAATGCATGGTGTGCTTGTCAGGAATATCGAAAAAAAAATGCTACTTCTAACAATGAATGGAATGGATAACTTAAGCACTCGCTATTGTTTTTATAGAAAGCTAACATTAACTGTAAAAGAGCCATTGCCCGAAGAACTAAAGAAACATGTCCGGTCTAATTACCGTCAGGGTTATGTTACTGAAAGTGTACATGAGAGCATATGCATTCTGAAAGGTTATGATGACTGGGGGCTTCTGCCAGCTGCTGAACAGAAATGTGTTTATGAGCCATACTGCTGAAAACCTTGAAGCCAAAGAGCAAACATGGAAACTGTGAAAAACAGTGTTTCACACACACAGCATGCAAATATCGCTAACCAGAATACCACAATTCATCAGGGATATAATAAACCAGCTTTCTCTGAGTTCCATGTACAACTCAAATCAGAAATAGGTGCCTCCATACTGAGACACTCATGGCAAGGTAAACATACACATTGTATTTGCATAAGAAGCGGCAATATGTCCCACCCTGGTGACAAAATATCTATGAAAATGTACTGAAGTAATGTAACCACAATAGAGTGCTGCAACACCCACAGACCCTCGTTAGAAACCCTTTCATGACGTCGAGCTGCATAGTTCCTGTTAGTTGTAAGATAGGAGTTAAGAATGATGGTGTCTTTAAATAAAATTGAAAAGGACAGTGCACACATATCCATTTTAAATATGATGCGACAGCTACAATATTAGAGTTATTTCCAAGAGCTAAAACACACGAGCCAGACCAGATTGTGTCTAGCTAGGCAGGAGAATAAATGCTGCTGGCAGGATTGAATCTAATCTTCCATAATCCAGAATGGCTGAAAGAAGACTGCCACTCGAGCACTTGAGCATGACATACTGTTATGTATTCCCTCTGACGGGTGTGAGCCAGATGTGGAAACTGAGCATCTTCTAACCCTTAGCCATGGGTCACCAAGCTTGCAGCTTTTTTCCTGAAAAAGGTTTGAGGTCAATATTACAGCTGGTCTGCCCATAGTATATCAAATAAACACCTTTATTTACTTGGCTTCATTCTCCTCTGATCTCACTGTCATGGAAAGAATCTTGTCATTCCTGTATAGTGAATGATGCTGGTGAAATATTCAAAGGATTTATTTTTGCTTCTCTGAGCAAAACAATGATGACACATGGTGAATCAGCAGCTCAGACAAGGCGAAGGAATCCTCTTAAGTAACCTGATTGGAGGTCAGGGCCATACCCCCCTCCCCTCTTTGAGACATAAAACAAGCAAGCGCCCTGCGGGATGGGTGGGAGCAGGGAAAGAGGCAAATGGGAGGTGAGGAATGGCTGGTGGGAAGAACAAAGGCAACGTAGACAGAATGTGGGAAATTAATGAGAGGGTAGGTTGTGATCAACACACATGGCTGAGCTGAGAGCCATCATCTGCTCAGAGAAAACATACAGTCGACTTTCAGCTCGGCAAAATGTACACAAGGCTGGGAGGAAAAAGGGGGCCTTGTTGGCCATACGGTATCCAGCCAGCTTGCACTGGGAAGAGAAGCTGAAGAACCGAGTCCTTCAGGACCCTAATCACAAGGCTCTGTGCTCCGCAATGCACGTTTGCATAACTTCCTGCCGCAGAGAACTCTGGACAGCCACAGTAACATTCCTTAACAGGACTGTACACGTCAGAGCGCTATTTTAGGTATGTGGCCAAACAAGTTCTCAACAAAAAGTGAAGGAAGGGAGGGAAAAAAAAAAATCCATCCCAAGTACAGAGTCACACAGTGAGCCTTATTTTTCAATCAGCACTAGTTCACTATGACGGAAAGGAGGAGGAAGGGGAGGGCTGGTGCAAGGGGGCCTGGCTAGCCCTATAGTAGAACAAATGAAGGAAAAAACAAAGAAATTCTGAAGACAGGCGTGCTATGAGTCTTCAAACAGCCGTGTGACAAATACCCAGGTTCAGTCAGTGAAACACTAGGAGGACACAAAAGAATCAAATTGCTTAATTGAACTAATTGGATCTTAGGAATAAACTATAAATTAGCTTTCTGAAGCAGTAAGAGTGTTTAGCACTGGGTGTGTGAGCAGCAACAGATCCAGGATTTAATCTCAGCATTTGCATCTCTGCTGTGGTGTCAGCTATCTTCATGGAAAGAGAGATACAGAGGTGTTTGGAGTGGGCCATATAGATTACATCCTAATATTAGATATATGCATCAGTGATATGGTCAATGCTGTGGTAAAAGCAGGAAACCAGTTATGAATTAAGATATTCTAGCATATTTAATACCTGAAACCTATGGAAAAATCTACTTTTTCGATAACGTAGTAATGCAAGACTGCCCACAACGGCCACCCGAGCTACAAAAGCACAACAATGATACAAAACTCTAACTGCAAAACAGCCATATTAGCCAACCCTCACATGCGTACTTGAATGCTTCACACATCAGCAATATATTATTGAAAAAAAGCCAGTGTGTAAATAAAAATCAGCATTTTGTTTAAAATCACTATCCAATATATAGTTATGAAACCAATCTAGCCACTGCTAACTGACTTATGAACATCCAGGCTGAGGAACAGAGGCCAAACATCATCTGTCACTATCAGTCTTTAGCCGTCAGACCTCTCTGCCGCTGGGTGAGATGGAGCAGCCAGCAACACAGATATGGCTGAGTTTCAAAATCTGAATCCAGGGTGTACTGAAAAATATGAGGTTCATGGTCCAGAATCACTGACAAAGCTCTTTCTTAGCTAATAATTCAGAGTAATTTCCAGAGGTAACAGTTCCTAACATAAGCACTTATACTGCACTTATTGCGGCTGAAATTTCCAAGGGCTTAGGAGTCAGCTTTCCATGCAAACAGAAGGACAAATTGCATCAATGATAACATGTGCAAGACAAAATGGAAAAGAAAGAAAGTGCAGATATAAATATGAACACAGAAAGGGATCAAATATTACATATATGTGAATGTAGCCTCTAAAACACCCTCATTCACTGTATGGTTAGGCCTGAATTCACCAGGCAAGAGCACAACCATTTTAAGAACATCTAAAAAAGTA